AAATACGTGAATAGGATTGGAATAGAGGGATATAGTCCCCGGAAGGGTAGGGGGTTTTAGTTGTGACGGGCAGCATGTCGGTGCAGGCTTGGAAAGCCAATGGGCCTGTTCCTGTGCTGTAATTTTTTTTGTTCTTTTTTCTTTGTAATAGCTGTTAAGTAATTGAATATTCACAACACAGGTAACTCGGCTGAGTCCTATTCATCTGAAAAAGCAGGTAACTGATGGATATCCTCCCTGTATTTAAAGTCATACTCATTTCTACCATTTTCAGTCAAATGCGATAAAATGCTTTGACATAATGAGAGATGGGGCTGAATTTTCACATCTTCTCCATCACCAACACTTTACACCAGGTCTGGAATAGAGATTATGGGGTTAAAATTGCTGGTATAATCAGACATATCAATTTGAGGACAGTGTGCAGGCAGTTAGGAGCCTCTGGACAAGGGTTCTGCAATCTCCATTTTTTCTAAATTAGATCTTGTTGACATGCCCTTTAGTTCCAGTCTGTATTTAGTACTGCAGCCTGTGCTTCTCTGAAACTGGAAGACTTCAGATTGCCTCTTAAACAGCCTCAAGATTTCACCCATCATCCCCATACAGGGAACTTATCCAACATCAATTAAAGGCTCACCCACATGAACATTTCAAGTTAAAACAAACACCAATTCCCCTACCCTGCTCCTCTTGCCACAGAGGCAAAAATACACAATGCAAATTTCCTAGGGTCCCACCTGGATCTATATTTTCTCAAGTTGGTTGACTGATTTTGCTTCTTTATCCAATATTTTTAATTATTGTTCTTTATTTTATTAACATTATCTTCCTGTTTGGTCTGGTTTCCTCATGTAACTTAGATACAGCAACATAATTCCTTCAGCCAAATACTTAGCCATTCACTCAGTTTATTCTGAATCCATACAGCTTTCAAAATTCAGTAGTCTTTCACATGAAACTTTGTCAAGTGTGTGCTGAAAATCTTGATGGACAATGCTGGAACATGTTCTGCTGTTAATGTAGATTGATCAGTTTCTAAAAAGATCAAGTCAACTAGATTGATAAGGCAGGAACTGTCCTTTTGAATCCATGCTCAATGTGAACTGAACACTTACCAGAGATAGTAGGAACTGCAGATGCTGGAGAATCCGAGATAACAAGGTGTAGAGCTGGATGAACACAGCAGGCCAAGCAGCATCAGAGGAGCAGGAAAGCTGACGTTTCGGGCCTAGACCCTTCTTCAGAAATGGGGGAGGGGAAGGGGATTCTGAAATAAATAGGGAGAGAAGGGGAGGCGGATAGAAGATGGATAAAGGAGAAGATAGGTGGAGAGGAGACAGACAGGTCAAAGAGGCGGGGGTAGAGCCAGTAAAGGTGAGTGTAGGTGGGGAGTTAGGTCAATCCAGGGAGGACAGACAGGTCAAGGGAGTGGGATGAGGCTACTAGGTAGGAGATGGGGGTGGGGCTCGAGGTGGGAGGAGGGGATAGGTGGGAGGAAGGACAGGTTAGGGAGGAGGGAACAAGCTGGTCTTGCTTTGGGATGCACTTGGGGGAGGGGAGATTTTGAAGCTTGTGAAGTCCACATTGATACCATTGGGCTGCAGGGTTACCTGGTTACCTGGTGAACACTTACCACCCTCGTACTATCACTGGTTTCCACTTAGATGATTTTGACTATAATTCTGAGGATAGGATTTTCCCATTTCTCAAGCACCATGGGCAATGGTGAGAAAATTGGGAAAATACAAGAAGAAAACTATCACATTTCCAGCATTGAGAATTTTTTTCCTGATTCTCCGTTCAAGATGTAAACACAGTTCCAAATCTCACTGATGAGCAGTAACTACCTTATTTTTGTGTATCTACATCATATTAACAGCTAATCTGGTCTCATTTCTATGAAGTTCCCAATTCTCCTCTTTCCCAGAGAAACTAGACATTGCTAATTCCTAACTTGAAAGAGGTTATCTGGTGCCAAAGCTCACCACTTGCTTCTCTAGCCCTTCTTCCAGCTCCATCATCACTACCATTTCCCCACATCTTCCATGGTCATCATCCTCTTCAACCTTCTATCCATGCAAGTCAGCATCGTCAAACGACCAGCCTCCCAATCATTATGCTTGCAACCAAGTGGAACAACACTGACCACTTCAACTCTTCAGGAATTATTTGCAGTTCATAGACAGATGATTTGCATGCTTTGTTCAGGTAATTTTGCACGCAAGGACACGGACACATTACATTCACCTACATACAATGCATTTTATGGTTCTTAGTTTGCTTTCTTAGCATTCAATTTGCACTATGTGCTAAAAACGTACATTAGCATCTAGGCTTGCCAGCCAAAACTTACAGTCTGCCAGCTTCTCCAGTTTAGCAAAGATGGAAATGCATACAGCTCGTCATCACACTATGTCAATGTCATACCTGCAGCATGTGTTAGTGGATTACGCATGAAACACACTGCATGTGCCTCAGTCAAACAACCATGCCTGAAAGTCAAAAGGAGACTAAGTCCTTAGTGGCGTCAGGTGGGAGTATGGTCAGTCAATATGTGCTGTCACAATCAATCAAGGAGCTTGTCAAATCTCAATCCCGGCCATGGTCAGTTAGGTTCTTCAGCCAACCTGAATCCAGGGGCCAGGCCATGCTCAGTTGAAGCTGTGCTCCCAAGTCAATTCAAAAGGGTAGGCCACAATCATTCTGTGCATTGGACTATTAAGCATCAATAGACTCATCAAGAGGCAACCTGTAGAGTCCCAGGCAAAGTAGGATGCTCAATTCAGATGTTGAGGTTTATTGGTCTTGATTGCTGAGGGAATGATGACAGTGAAAAAGGACAATTTGAGGCAGAAGGGTGAGGTCTCATACAGCAGAGATGGAAAACTGTAGAAGAGAGGCTTTGAACAATTGACAATCTCTCTAACCTCAGTATGAAGTGCATGGCCAACAAGGACAAGGCAGCTTGCAAAGCCAAGAGGGTGAATGGGGAACATTAAAAGTAACATAAAGGAGTTGAACACAATTCAGGAGAGGTTATAGATCATTGGGAATGCAGGGGCAGTAATACAAAAGGAAACGTGACGGATGGAATTATTGTTCAACTCAGGCAGAGCCTGCAACTCAAGTTTGTGAAGTTGAAACCTTGCCATCTTCTCACTAAACTCAACTGTGCAATAAAGACAAAATGGTTTCCACTGCGATTTGGTAGAGTTAGTTACTGCTATTATCTTCAGGGGTAGCATGCAATTATTTGCGTGAGAAGATTAACTAGGGACATTTATAAAAATAATGCACTCCTGATTCTGTAACACTACCCATCAACTGTCAAATTGAATTCAGTGGAAATATAATTCTTTTGGCAACTATTACAATTACAGCTATTGCGTCAAGCAATTATGACTATCATGTATTTTGCATCAATTGATTTCGTCACATCAGATGAGCAAAGCCATGCAGATGTACACTTAAAAGCACTGATTTTCATACCTGACACTGATACACAATGCTTCAGAGCTGCCACAGTCTCTCACCTAACTACAACAAGTATGCAAATGACATGGCCTGTGATGTTAGATTAAGATTTATTTTGGGAAGGGATGCTATCACAGCGGCGAAGTGCCTGCATTTAACTCACCCAGCACTGGTGCTTTGGGTCTGCAACATACAACTGCACGTGGTTACAGAGTTCGGTACTCCTTATCAAGGCGTGACATTGTGACATGCAGGCTCTGCATTTGTAAAAAGGCCAAAGTGTGAGGCCATAGACATATCACTTCATTGTGACTAATGTGAGGGGCCAGATATGCTGTTCTATTTTTGACATTACCCACAGATTACCTGATCGCCTCATCTGAGATGGAACCAGCACTCTCAGGACTTTTTTGTGGAATGGCTAAAAATCACATAACAGCAACAATGTTGTCACCAAGCTCAGCAATAACAAGCACATCACATAGCTGCTGCACAGCTTTCGGATGGAAGACTAGCTGAAGAACCCCGAAGGAGGTGGAGGAATTCCAAACGGTAGGAGGGGTTAGTAGCTTGAGGATTAGATGAGTGGGAGCCATTGGGTGAACTGCTACATGCAGTTGTGATATTTGTAGTCTACGAGTCTTGATGAGAACCATGTGCAGTAGCAGAGAGTTTGACTGTGAGGTATCATAGAAAATAATGAAAAAAACTACCCTTTCTCAACAATCTTGTCTGCTATCACCTCCAGGTTTCTATCTGCAAAGCAGAATGCTAGATTCCCTTTGTGAGCCATTTGCTGAGTTCCAATGGTAGAAAACCACAGTACAAAGGTCAGTTCCTGGCTTTCTATGTCTGAAGTGCTCTGGAGCTGGTTTTTAAACATAGTACCAATAGCACAAATGTCACAAATTCCAGGCAATGTTAAGCATTTCCACCAATCTATCCACACGACTGCATGAGGAAAGTTGACAACTGGCATGGCAGACCATCTGTCATGAATCTCACTTAAAAAGCACTTTGCCAAAAAAAGGGATTCAGTCATTCCATTGCAAATGGCGAAATCTGATTATTCCATGTCAGCTCCAGTAAACTATGGTGAACAGAACTGGTAGATGTCTTAGTTAAGTGGGAAACAGTAAATTTGTTCAAAGACTTGCTCTGGCAGGGCTGAAAAGAAAATTAAAACAACGGGCAATTCCAAATAAAAATTCACAGCAGTCATGAATTGATATCAGAACCTTTAACAATGGAAACCAAAAGAACTGCGGATGCTGTAAATCAGGAACCCTCAGTTCTGAGGGTCACCGGACCCGAAACTTTAACTCTGTTTTCTCCTTCACAGATGCTGCCAGACCTGCTGAGATTTTCCAGTAACTTTGTTTTTGATCCTTTAACAATGGAGTTCAGCAAATTGTTAGACATATGTATCACATTAAAGAAAATTTTAGAACAAAGAATGAAAAAAATCTATCAGCTGAAAGAAAAACAAAAATGTTTAAAAATCAAATCATTATGCAATACAATAGTTGTATTTAATCACTAATGTTTATTTACACCATACCCAAGAAACACTTAAAATGGCATTTTCTGACTTCTGTATAGATTTAGTCAATCATTTTACAAAATGTAAATGGATAGCAAAAGTGCATAACAACAAATCTACCATTTTAAATTTATTTTGCTTGCTCCTCTGGCTGACAGGTTCAGACAGTCAACCCCTTTTATTTACAGAAGCTTATTTCTTAAACTTTGAGCCATACATTTTCCAGTTTATGTATTTTCTGCTGCAGTTTCTCCCCCAACAATTAAAAGGTTAAAAAGCAGCACTCTCAGATCAACAGAAGAGTGTAACAATTTATTTCTAGATCAAGGGAATAACATAGTGCAATGAAATTCATCTTATATTTGGGTCACTTGAGCATTCTCCACAGGTACATTATAATGTCTGTCATCCTCAGTTATTAGCGTAACCATTGGCCAGTCCTCTTTATGATCATTAGGATAGAAAGTGACAAACTCATCAGTTCCAAATTTGTATAGCCTGAAAACTCTGATAGTTAACTGTAGGGAGTATCCCAGAAGAAACATTTCAACCTAAAAAAAAACCAGATTATACAGCCATTAATAAGCTTGTTCACTGCTTTACAATGAATAACAAACTATATATAAGTACATAGCCAATCAATTGCTTAATTCTCAAAGCCTTAATTGATCAAAATGTAGCTTCTCGCTGTGCAACATATAGCCAACCTGGAAATTGACTCTCTTTGCTGAGTTGGTACATGCCAAAGTCCAATGGACTTGGTTATGTCAAGTTACAGTGGTTTGCTTAAACAAGGGATTTTTGGAAGGTTCTCTACATTTCTTTTGCCCACAAAATGTGGTCAGTCCAACTATGTTGTGTTTACTTTGCTAACAATCCAGTGCCTGAGTGATTTGAAAGATCAGCAACCTGATGTTTCATATTATGAACCAGTCCTTCTGTACTGCGCAATTATATTTCAATTTAATGTGGTATAAACAGTAGACGAGAAAGCCTTAATCCACTTAACACCTAGAAAATGCATGTAAAATGTTACTCCAAACTAATTTCAATTTGGTAGGATTTTTGATCTGCAATCTACTTCAACATCAAATTTTCATGAACAATTAAGCCTCTTCAAGGATAAACTCACCAAACTGTCTATTTAAACAAAAAGAAACCAAGGCCATATCTGCTTTGACTTGGGGTGATGTTGGGGAACTGATAGAGAGAGGGAGGTTAGGAGCAAACAGAGATGCTTACAATTAACTATTCATTGAGAGAAACAAAATGTTCCAGGGGATTTTGGCACACAATCTAAATAATGGAATAACTTGCTTATTCTATAATGTCCGAGACTTTAATGGTATAAATCGAACCCTGTCCACAATGTTCAGGAATATCTGGACTGTAATCTCTGCTGTGCTGTCCTGTGAATTTAATCACCCCTCCACAGCTTCTTCCCACAAAGCTAAATTAACTCAATAGTGTCATCACCACATATTGTACCAATCAGAAAATCCCATTATCCATGTACTTATTTATACCACCACATAAAAGTGCCTTTCAGCCCATCAAGTTGGTCAAAAACAATCACTTAACTACTCTAATCCCATTTTCCAGCACTTGGCCCAAGGCTTCATACGCCCTGGCATCACAAGTAGACATCAAAATATTTCTTAAATATCAAGAGGGTTTATGCTTCTACCATCCTGACATGGCCTAACCAACATTTTGTACAGTTCCAGCATCACCTCCCTGCTCTTAAACTCTATGTCTTGGCAAATAATGGCAAGTAATCATATTCCTTCTGAACAAATTTATCTACCTCTCCCTATCTTGAGGTACAAGTGCACATGCACACCAAGGTCCTGCTGAATCATCAATGCTTCCCAGGGTCCTACTATTTATCATGTATTCCCTTGCCTTGTTGGTCCCATCCAAGTGCATAATCTCACGATCACCCAGATTGAATTCCATCTGCCACTAATCAACTCATTTCCATCCTTTTGTAATCTAAGGCTAATTTCACCATTTACCATCTCACCAATTTTCATATCATTTGCACACTTACTGATCAACCCTCCTACATTCAAGTCTAACATATCACAAATAGCAAGAGCCCCAACACCCAGCCGTCTGGAAACTCAATGGAAACGGATTTCCTGTTTCCACCATCACCCTCTGCTTCCTGTCACTCAATCAGTCAAATTTCCTTGGATCCCATGGGCTCTTACATAGAATGTACAACTATACAACACATGAATGAGCCCTTTGGCCTGCCATGTTATACCAAACATGACGCCAAGTTAAACCAATCCCTTCAATCTGCCCTTGATCCATATCCCTCCATTCCTTGCATATTCATATGCTTATCATCGGCAGCACAGTGGTTCAGTCGTTAGCACTGCAGCCTCACAGCACCAGGGACCTGGGTTCAATTCCACCCTCGGGCAACCATCTGTGTGGAGTTTCACATTCTCCCTGTGTCTGCGTGGATTTCCTTTGGGTGCTCCGGTTTCCTCCCACAATCCAAAGATGTGCAGGCTAGGTGGATTGGCTATGCTAAATTGCCCAGTGTTCAGGGATGTGTAGATTAGGTGGGTTATAGGGGGATGGGTCTGGGTGGGATGCTCTGATCTAAAAGTCACTTAAGTGCCCCCATCATATCTGCCTCCACCACCACCCCGGCAGCGTGTTCCACACACCTACCGTTCTGTGTAAAAGTCTTGCCCCTCACATCTCCTTTGAACATTCCAACCTCACCTTAAATGCATGCCCGCTAGTTTCAGACATTTCACCTCTGGGAACAAGATTCTGACAATCAACTCTATCTATGCATCTCATAATTTTAATGGATTTCTATGAAGTCTCCCCTCAGCCTCCATGCTCTAGAGAAAACAACCTGAGTTTTTCTAGTCTCGCCTTATAGCTCATACCTTCTAACCCAGGCAGCATCCTGGTAAACCTCTTTTGCACCCTGTCCAAAGCCTCCATATCCTTTCTATATGTGGAATTGAATGCAGAACTCTTAAGTGTGGCCTAACCAACGTCTTATAAAGCTGCAACATGACATTCTGACTCTTGTACTCAATTTCCCGACCGATAAAGGCAAGCATATTTTACCACCCTATCTACTTGTATAGCCACTTTCAGAGAGCAATGGACTTGAACCGCAAGATTCCTCTGTCCATCAATGCTGTTCAGGGTCCTGCCACTAATTGTATACTTTTCCTTAACATTTGATCTCCTAAAGTGCAGCACCTCACACTTACACAGACTAAATTCCATCTGCCATTTCTCCACCCATATATGCAACTGATCTATGTCCCGCTGTATCCTTTGACAACTTTCTACACTATCCACAACGCCATCGATTTTTGTGTCTTCTGCAAATTTACTAACCCACACATCTACATTTTCATCCAAGTCATTTATATATATCACAAACAGCAGAGATCCCAGAACGAATCCCTGTGGAACACCACTAGTTACAGACCTCCAGCCCAAAAGACAACGTTCCACCACTACCCCCTGCCTTCTATGGGCAGGCCAATTCTGAAACCACGCAGCCAAGTCACTGTGGATCTCATGCACCTCAAATCTTTTGGATTTACCTTTGCTATCAGTCTACCATGAAGGACCTTGTCAAAAACCTTACTGAAGTTTAAGTAGACTACGTCAAATGCATTGTCCTCATCTAAACACCTGGTCCCCTCTTTGAAAAATTTAATCAAGTTGGTCAGACATGATCTCCCCTTATCAAACCAATGCTGACTGTTCTTGATTAATTTCTGCCTCTCCAAGTGATTAATTTTGTCCTTCGGAATTGCTTCCAATAGCTTCCCCATCACGGAGATGAAACTGATTGGCATGTAGTTCCCTGTTTTATCCTTTGCTCTCTTCTTGAATAACAGTACCACATTGAATGTCCTCCAGTCCTTTGGTACTTCTGTGGCCACAGAGGAATTGAAAATTCCTCCTTTGCTGTTTCCTGCCTTGCCTCGTCAGCAACCTGGGATGCATTTCATCTGGCCCTGAATATTTATTCACTTTTAAGCATGCCAGACTACTCAGAACCTCCATTGTCACAATGCAAGTGTATTTAAGTATATCACAGTCCTCCCTGATTTCTATATGCACATCCCTTTCATGAGTGAACACCAACACAAATTATTAATTTAAAACCCTACATAATGTCCTCTGGTTCCACGCACAAATTATCACCATGATCCTTATTGGGCCCAACTCTTTCCCTATATCCTTTTATCATTAAACATACATGTAAAATAACTAAGCATTTTCCTTAATTTTACCTGTCAATATCCTTTCATGCACCGTTTTTGTTCTTCAAATTCCCTTTTTAAGTTTCCCTTGTACATTCTATATTCCTCCAGGGCTTCTGCTTTCTGAACCTTCAACATATGCCATAAGCCTCCCTTTTTCTCTTCATCCAATCCTGAACATCCTTCGATATCCAGGTTCAATGGAATTGTTGGGTACCACCCTTTGTCTTTATTGGCACATGCTGGCCCTGTACTCTCCCTATTTCCTTCTTGAATGCATCCCATAGCTCTGACACATAATTCCCCAAAAGTACATGCTCCCAGTTCATTCTGGCCAAATCACATCTTACCTTATTAAAATGGTCCTTCTCCTGGTTTAGAACTTCGAATACAGACCTTTTCCGTAATAATATTGCTCCTCTACTGATACTTCAACAACTTGCCGGCTTCGTTGGCTATAATTAAGTCAAGGTCTGCACACCCTCACTTGTAGGCCTTCTACTTATTAGCTTAAAAAGCTCTCCTGAATGTATTTTAAGAATTCTGCTCCCTCTGAACCTTTCACACTACGGCTATCTCAGTTAAATGTTGGGGATGTTGAAATCCCCCACTATCACTGTGTTATTACTTCTATACTTCATTGAAGTTTGCCTACATATCTGCTCTTTCCTTCCTTTCTGACCGTTAAGGGACCTATAGAAGAATCTCCTACACTCATGGTGGAAAAGCCTTCTAGGTTTTAGTTTAATCCCTCACAAGATGTGGGCATCACAGGCTAGGTCAGCAGTTGTTGGCTATCTTCAACTGTCTTTGAGAAGGTGGAGGTGAGCAGTTTTCTTGAACTGCTGAAATCTACGTGCTGCAGATACACTCACAGTGCTGTTAACAAAGGGAATTGGGAACAGAGGAAGAGGAGAAGGCCATTCAACACCTCAAGGTGTTCCACCATTCAAAGAAACCTTGGTTGATTTGAAGGCCTAACCCCACACACCTACCTTTGACCCATACTCCTTAATATCTTACATAATTTTTTGTTAAGCAATGTCAGATTTAAAATTGACAACTGATGCAGCACTCACTGCAACTGGTGGAAGAGCGTTCCAAACATCTACCACCCTTTTCGTATGAAAGTGCTTCTTAACATTTCTCCTGAATGGTCTGGCCCTAATTCTCAGACAATGCCCCCGGTTTGTAGAATCCCCAATCAGTGGAAATAGTTTATCTTTATCTATCCTGCTTTTTCGCATTAATATCTTGAAGACTTTGACCAGATCATCCCCTTAATCTTCTAAATTCTGGAGCAAACAGGCCTAATTTGTATAATCTCTCCCCATAACTTAACCACAGAAGTCCAGGTATTATTCTTGTAAAGCTATACTGTACTCCATCTAGGGCAAATCATCCTTCTGAATGTATGGTGCCCAGATCTGCTCACAGTACTTCAGATGGGGTCTAACCAAGGTTTTGTATAACTGCAGCGTAACATCTGTGTCCTTATCCTTCAGTCCTCTAAATACAAAGGTCAGTATTCTATTAACTTTCGTGGCTATTTTCTGCACCTGTTCATGGTATTTGAGAATCTATATACCTGAATACCCAAGACTCTTTGAAAACCAACTGTATTTAACTTCATAATGTCTATAAAATACTCTGATCTATCCTTTGTTGGACCAAAACGGATGGCCTCACTCTTACTTACCTTGAACTCCACCTGCCATAGTTTTGCCCATTCACTAGTCAATCAATATCCCTTTGTAATTTTATGCTATCACCCACCCTGCCTACAATGCAACGTAACTTTGTCTCTCTAGAAAATTTGGATATATGAGTTCCTATGTCATTATTAATGAGTGTGAATAATTGAGGCCCTAACACAGAGTTTCAGGATTCTGATGCGGTGACAACGAAGGAACAATACTACAGTTTTAATTTTAGATGGTGTGCAGCTTAGAGGGAACATGCAGGTGGGGGTATCCCAATCTGTCTGTTGCCCATGGTAGAGATAGATGATAGAGATAATGGAACTGGAAGGTGCATTCAAAGGAACATTGCTGAGTTCTTCATTGCATTTTGTACGTAACATACACTGTAGTCACTGCACATCACTAATGCATGGAGTGATGTTTAGACTTGTGGATAAGGTGTCATTGAGAGAGTGCTGCTGAGGCCTGGAGGGTATTGAGCTTCTTCAATGGTGGAGGAGATGCACCCATCCAGATAAGCCAAAAAAATTCCATCCCACTCCTGATTTGACATGGAGCTGAACAGTTTTCAACTCCAGATACTTTAAAATTAAAATCCACAAGTTGCAATGGTGCGATTTGAACCCCTGTAACTTAAGCATTAGAGTGGGCCTTTGGATTACTAGCCCTGTAACACTTCCAGCATACCACCATCTTTCCTGCTGGTAACACGCTTTAGCTCATGTGCACTTAATTCCGTGACCCATGCTTTCAATGGTAAAATTGGGGGAAGAGGTGGGGTTTAAGCTGATCTCCCCAGTCTAATGTCGACTCTACTTTTTTTTTTATGGCAACTGTCAGCATCTAGGACATTAATTTAGTCAATTTCCCTTTTGTTTTCTGGGAGTGGTTTCAAGGCAATTTCGGATATTTCAGTCTAGCCTTGTGACTATTAAACATGGAGTTCTTGGTGCTTTCTACTTCAACACTAGCTGATTAGTAATTTCACAGATGATACACAAATGCAGGTGGTAAATAGTGAGGAGGATAGTCTTAGATTACAGAAGCATACAGACAGGCTGGTCAAAAGGATTGATCAGTGGCAAATGGAATTCAATCCAAATAAGTGTAAGGCAATGCACTTGGGCAGGACAACCAAGGCAAGGGAATACATGATGACGCACCAAATATCACAGAGATCTTGGTGTGCACGTACACCAGTCCCTTAAGGTATCAGGAAAGTGGACAAAGTCATAAGAGGCACGTGGTATACGTGTCTTTATTAGTTAAAGCACAGAGTTTAAGAGCAGGGAGGTTAAGCTGGAACACTGGTCAGACTACAGCTAGAGCGCTATATGCAGTTCTGGAATCGACATTGGAGAGATGCGATAGCACTGGAAAGGGTGCCGAGAAGAATTACCAGGATATTGCCTGGGCTGAAAAATTTCAGTTATGTAGAGAGATTGGATCAACTAAAGTTGTTTTCTTGACAGCAGAATAGATTGAGGGGGGACATGACTGGGATGTATAAAAATTTAAGGGCCACAGATAGAGTAGACAGGAAGAAACTTTTCCCCTTGATGGAAAGATCAATCAGGGGCATAGATTTAAGGAAAGTGGCAGAAGGCTGAGAGGAGATGTGAGGAGAAACATTTTCACCCTGGAAGTGGCTCACTGCCTGAAAGGTGGTAAAGGGAGAAACACTCATAACATCTAAATAGTACTGAGACGTACACTCGTGTAGCCAAGGCACACAAGGCTATAGGCCATGTGCTGGAATGTGGGACTAGAATAGTTTGGTGGTTGCTCTTGACTGGTGCAGATGCAATGGCATTTTTTTATGCTGTAGATCTCAGTGACTCTGATGTTTTATAGCAAACCTTTCTAGTCACTCAGAAAAAATTAATCCCTTGAGAAACAAAGCTTTTCCTCAATCTGTTTTCACTTTTCTGAAGAAGGGTCCCGAACTGAAATGTCAACTTTCCTGCTCCTCTGATGTTGCCTGGACTGCTGTGTTCCTTCAGCTCCACACTGTGTTATCTTTCACTTTTCTTCCTCTTTTGTGTGCTTAAAGTAGGAGGCATAGTATTTTCAAAGACTTGATCCTGCCTGTAGTCACATTCAGGGGGATTATAACAGGGAATTTTCACAAGCAATTAAATGTTAATGCTCAAGTTTGTTTAAATCACAGCAATTAGTAGCAAGGGATCTGCAGTTCTTGAAGAATGACTGCTTACTAGAGGCAACTGCAATTTTCATCAGGATCCTTGGAAAGGAGATGCCAAGTGTCTTCAACCTGACCAAGTTGAAATGTTCTATTCCAAGCTACTGTGCCAACTCCATCTTGCAAAAGCTACATTTAGATTAATATTGTATAGGTGTACCGTCATGAAACAAAAGATAACAAATGAAAGAACTACACAGAAAAGTACCTATGTGATCTGCAGAATAAAATCATTGGGTAATTTTGGACTTATGAAGCACTGCTCCTGGGCTTTGATATTTTATTCCAAGATTTTTAATATTACAATCACTTACCTGATCCAGTCCACCCGTGTAACCAACATGATTCAAATGATTCTTCATGAACTGATAAGGATCAGCAGAAGTATCACGAGCAAATAGCAGCCAACAGAAGAGAGGGATTTCCTTTTCTTGCATTTTATCATTATCGAGTTCAATAGCCTTGGCCAACATGAGAATTTTCACGGCTTCATACAACCTGTATTCTTCCTGGTCATTTTTGAATATCTCTTCGCAAACAGCTTGTCGTTCTTTCACAGAATCTATTTCACATATCTGTATCCACTAGAGGAGAGAGAAAAATACAAATCACAACATATTCATTCTGGTAAAATCAGATGAAATTATGTCATTTCAACTATCTGTGCCCATTTGGAAATAATCTGATGTCATAAAAACTGAAAGAACTGCAGATGCTGTAAATCAGGAA